AATGGTGTTGTTAAGAAATAAATTAATACATATGTCAACGCTGGTAATAAGTATACCTCAGCCCAGGACATTAAGAAAGGGAATTTAAAATATTCAAAAGTATCAATGGTTGAAATTGACAAGTTAAATTCAGTTAATGATAGCAAGATAAAGAATATCATTTTAATCCATTGAATTTCATACTATGGCAATGGAATTATTCTATGGCAATACTTTAACTGTGAGAAAATGTAAAAGAGTTCATTTTTCAGGATTAGAATTTGTTTCTAGTTTATCAGAGATAGAACTTTTTGATGGTGGATATCTTTTTAGAGCAATTAGAAATTAAAAGAAACAAAAAAATAGGTGCCTTAACACTAGTGCGTGCGGCAGTGAGTCGTTATGTCATATGATTTTTTGATAAACATACGTCAATGGAATTAATTTTATTACATCATGCTGATTTGTTTATTAGTTGTTCCAACTAATAAACAAATCAGCATGATGTAAAAATTTTTCAAATAAATTGATGCCGCAGCAATAATTACTGAAAGTAAATTTAAATTTAAGCGCAATATTGTTGTTAAAGGATGGACTATACCTATACGTAAGCATACAAGATTTACAACCAAGTGGAGAGATTTCTCACATAATGAGTTCAAATCTGGAGAAGTAACAGGACGTAAAACAACACCAGAAAAATTTTTCTTCAAAATGAGGAAAATGAAAGATAAAAAAGGTGTCAAATCACTTAGTGCTACTCATTATCTTAGTCGACAGCAAATTCTCTTTTCATTTAGTAGATTGTCCGTAAAATACCAGTATGGTTTGCTTAAAAAACTTGAGCAAGTCGAAATTATTGAGGATTTAACAGTATAATTAGAAGAAAGCGTATTTGTATAATGACCCTGAAAATTTGGATAGCGAGATTTTAGCCGATGTTGAGAAAATTAAGTAATGAATACATTGGGCAGTTTGTTCTTGTAGCAAGTATTTTAAAAGTCAAACTAATCACTCTGTTGGCCAAATTAGAATAATACTATATAAAAATGATGCGCTTATCATTTCGTGAAAACTTACTAGATAATTTATCAAGCGAGTTTATCAAAAAGCAGAGTTGATAATTAATTTTAACCACGTCTATTCTTCGGAACATTAGTAAATGAGCCCATTGAAATTAATATATATATATATATATATATATATATATATATATATATATATATATATATATATATATATATATATATATACATATATATATATATATATATATATATATATATATATATATATATATATATATATATATATATATATATATATATATATATATATATATATATATATATATATATATATATATATATATGTATATATATATATATATATATATATATATATATATATATATATATATATATATATATATGTATA